GGAATGCAATAAAAGAATATTCCTAAATACATACTTAAATGTGTACTTTTCATTACTTTATCCCCAACCTTAGAACATTTTTAAATTATAGTACTTATAATTCTCAGGCTTCATGATTATAATTTATAGTTACAGGAATTTCTCAAGGATCTGACATAAAAGATCCCTGCTCTTTGATTCCTGAAGTGAATAGAACAAAATCTTACACTCAGGCAAAACAAGACAACATCCACTACTACCCAGCCCATCATACCTTGCTGGTGCAGTTATCCTAAATTGAAAGCATTAAAGAAAGAGGGAGAAGATACAAGATGAGCTTCTTAACAGAGCTTTATACAGAATTGCCATGTTAGCTTGGACAGTATTTGCTTTTCTTGAGAAGCTCAATGAATGAGAAGAGTTTTCATGAAAAAAAGATAAGTCTAAAAAGCACTTAAGTATATTCAACCTGCCCAAGCTGTTGAGAATTCACTTGGAAAAGGAACAGCAGTAATTTACTTGGGGTTCTTAAATAGCAGTTGAGTACAAAAAATAAAGTATTATTCTAAACCTACAACACTGTGTTCAACATATGCTCACTCAGCTCAACACATTAAGTTTTGCCATTAAACAAAAGCCAGTGATAATCAACACTAGTATTTCTAAAATGTTTAACCAAAAACCTGCAGTTAGTTTTCTAAACTTATTCTTTCAAATAAAGTAACCGCTCTGCAGAACTAAAAGCTTGCTACGTGAACATGTCTCTTACACAAGCAATTAGCTGCTTCTGCAAGGCTTCCTCACAGCTAAATAAACACATGCTTCAACTTACCAACAAAGTTTCTACCAGCCTGCATGACATTCACAGAATACCATCAACACTATTCATCTACCAAAATACACACAGCTAATTTGGCTCAGAATGTTAAGCCAAGAACATGAATGATTCTGCTGTATGTAGCTTTTACTGTCTCAGCTTTCCAAGTTTTGAATAGGTTGTTGCAGGTAACTAAATGCTGTACTTACCACCTCAGCCAGTGCTGAAATAACTTTGCCCAGAGTTGTGAGAGACTTGTTTATATTTGCTCCTTCCTGGGAAAAGAAAATCCGGTATTATATAGTAATTAAAATTGTTCAACCATGAACCTCTGCAGACTAAACAAGCCAATTGTCACATCCACGATCAGAGAGGGGAAAAAGTCTTCAGTTTGCAATTATCTTTTCCATGCTTATAATAACAATCGTTTCTTTTCTTCACTATTTGCCAAGTGAAGAGCCCACGTCAAGCTTGTGCACCCACTTCCCTTTCTTTCCCCACACATGGATGGCCCCATACCTTTAATCGGGTTCCTTTGGCACCAGTTGAATCAGCTCGCTCACTCCCAGCTAGATCCACAAGGCTAATCTTGCTGACCTGAGGAGAGAAAGCACATCAACGATGAGAATTAGCTCTTGGAGAGCTAAAGAACAAAACTTCAAAGAATTCTACAGCATGAGAATAACTGCACTGTCTAAAAAACTCACCACAGTGTGCTTAAAACTACGGTCCAAGTTTTCACAAACTATTAGCTTGATTCTGTTACCTTATGGATCAGAGGTGTCTGGGATTATACTCTAGTTTAAGTATTACTATACCCCTCTACCTAAAAAGAGAGAATGAGGTCTTGCGTGAACAGAGCAGAAGAGAAGTCAAAACTGCTGCTGACAGCACAAGAATCTCCTAAGAAGAGAAACTTAATGTTTCATCCTGACTCTAGAGACATCAACAACAATGCACTGGCCTACCTAAACAGACTGCATGTCAGTTAATGATAATTTTACAGGGGGTGGAGTCTTCAATATATCATTTTTTTCAGATCTATCCACGATAGTCAGTTCGGAAACATGAACATTACCTGTATTTCAGCTACTTCTGCACGTAGCCTCTATTTCAGAGTAACAGAAGGCAGAAAAAACTATCCCATGCTAAACAGTGCACCTCCTTTTAATATGCAAATTCCCAAAAGTGCCTAAGTCTCACTCATCCCAGTTCCTGTGTCTACAGAAAAGAACTAAAGAGGCAAAGATTTTGCACCGAGAAGCAAAACCACAGAAAGTTTTGGGATAAGACTAGGGAAAATTAACTTCTTTTATTTCCTATATCCCTTCCCATAGAACCTAGTCCTTAAGGCCCCATTTCCCCACGTCTCTATATTCTCATCCTGCACATATTCTCTATTTAGATGGAGAATATATGCAGAATTTGTAGGATTACATTCAAACAAAAACCCCATAGGAAATAAAAAGGCCCTGTCATGGCACACAGCTAGTTCACCCTTAAAGAGAACACCAGAAAACCCAATTAATTCTCATTTTATCACCATACCGCCAATAGGAATAAGTCATTGCAGGGAGGATTTGTAAAGAACAATCAGAAAGCCACTTATTTGTAACATACCTTCTCTGTGGAAAGATTAGTTTCTGTGTCATGTTTCTTCTGAGTAAAGACAATTGTAAACACAGCATGAGAGCGGCTGCTGGTTTCATTCATGTTGGTAGCTGCCACAGTCCTAAAATATAAACAGATATAGACATGTTTAGAAAACAGTAGCCTCTGTGCTGTAAGTACAACTACCTGCAGGGCTGAAAACAGCTGCGGAGGAAGACCAAGAGGCTGTATAGCTGATGTTCTACCCTGTAACCAAGACAAAGCCACCTCGACTGCCATTAACAAACCCTGTGATTTTTCACTCCTGAATTACTCCCATCTTCATCACAGCTTAAAGAGAGCTTCCTCAATCTGTGTACTCAGTAATCTACCTTACACTCAAACACCCAAGAAAACACAAGCAGCATGTGTATCAATCTTTCCCACACATTGTTAAGTGGAGCCTACAGCTGACATGAAAACAGCTACTAATGAAGCAGAACCTAAAGCTAAAATGGCAACTTAAGTCCTGGCCACTTGACTGAATGAAAGAGGAGACTGTGTTCACATGTGTATTTATACCAATATAGTGATAGAGTACACAACAAAGGCAGAACTAAAAGCCAGTATAATTATCTACACACCTCATCTCAAGGCATTACAAGCTTTAAATATCTATACAGTGATTTGCACTGCTGGTTCCCCACACAAATCAATTTCAGCCTTTTAACAGCATTGATCAGTGCATGTTTCAACAGCCTGAAGCACATAATACTCTTCCTGAGCTTCTTCCAAAAGTGCCAATGCATCACAGAAGATATTTTAGATTTCCTGCTATATGCCATATATCCCCACAACAGAGATAAATATATACAATGTGCTATCATCACTGACCTGGCTTTGTTCCCAGCATCCATGAGGTCAGCAATGTCTGTGTAAGACGTGACTGCTAACTTGGACAGATCTTCCACATATGGTCCAAGCAGAGGATGTTCTCGCACCCGCAAATTCCCTTTGTTCTTCGGGTTCAACAAGTCTCTGACTCTCTCACAGTAAATCTCCATGTAACTCACCTGAAAACAGGAATTTGCATGGACAATTTAGTGTTTCCTAAGGCTTCCTCTGCAAGCAGCCCTGCAGCTTTTCAGGGTGCCACTGGTAGAAACTCCCTATGCCGCAGGTGAGTGTCTCAGTTCATTTAACAGCTTGAGACAATGGCAGAAGGGAAGAAGAGCCACTAGTCTCATGCCTCAGATCTCCAGCACAAGCTGCAGGACTCACATTCATGTACAGATCCCTCAACCATTTCAAAAAGCACTGGTGTTTAATTAAAAATTACACACTTGAGTTCACAATCAGCTTAACAGCTTTACTATGACACAGCAGCAAAACTATCTTTCTAAAGAGGCAAACAAGACAGATGGTAAGAGGAATCTGCTTACAAGGAATCTCTCTTATGAGCCTCCAAAGCAAACTTAAGAAGGGAAGAACGAATTAATTTCTTCATATGCAGAAGCAACTTTTGATTCTAAGCTATACCCACATCTTGCTGTATTCCTGAGTCATCAGTACAATTATTCAAACTATGGTAATCTGGAATCTGCATCCTTTGAAATAAATTATAAAGCTGAGCTTATTTTTAAATGCATTCTTTAATTTCTATTTTTCTCGTGGCACTAGGCTTATCCCAGTCCAACAGGTACTTGGTAGCTGCAGCAGTCAAGATATTTAATATTAAAAGAGACAGGAAGTTATTTACTTTCATTCTGGGGAAAGATTAGAGATGCAAGCTAAATTTCCATCTCTAAAATTCTAAATTTAGAGATTGAAGATCTCTTTTTGTGTAAGTGCAATTCAAATAAATGAATTCTATACCCAAACCAGATCACATAACATTATTTATACATTTTCATCACTGTTCCTGACTCCCTTTTCTGCTCATTTGTCAGATGTTCGTTCTTTTGGATTTCCATTATAAGAGAGACTATTTCTCTCTCTCTCTCTCATATGCACAAATCTATTCTTGGAGACATAATCAGAACCATGACCAACTACGAAACAGAAAAAACATCAGGAAAATGTGGGAATCTTCTCATACACAAATCCTAAACGTGATAGTCCTATGGTATTCAAGCATTAAGTCATCAAATGTTAATGAAATGCAACTAAATGAAGTGTTAAAATGGACAGATTCAGGGCCACAGAACTAGTAATTTTCCAGTTCTGTAATTTAGAAGCAGCAGTGATTGGAATTCATATTTCTTTAATAATAATCACATTTGAATTCTACCAGCTTTTTGTCCTTCCTTTCTTCCTAGCGTGCAACATATTTGCATGTCAAGCCATTAACACTGATTGGGGGAAAATAACCCAGTAAAAGACAGGAAATAGTCTTTCTATGAAGTGGCTACTTTTATTCTTGTTTGGTGCAGGGAGACAAGACAGAAAAAGAAATGGTGTAGTATGACAGCAAATGAAAACCACTTTCTAAACACTACCCAACCTAAGTAAGGATAATAATTAAGAAAAATTAAGTACTGACAAACTTCTTATGTATGCACAGCTTAAACAATTTTTCTCTCTAAACCAACCCTACTAACAGATGTCAGGTAAGACTGAGCTATGTAGACAAGTCCTGTTGGGAAATAGGGTATAAATTATGACTGTAACAATTGGCAAGGAAAATGTCCCAGACAGGTTTTAGCTGCATTTGCCTCAAACATGAAACAGAAAAGACAAAAGGCTTAAAGTAAAATGAAATTAAAAACCCCACAGCATCTTAATGCAACATCAATAATGCAGCACCTGAGCTCAGTTTGATGTCCAGCACACAGATACTCTTTGATCCCTCACCATACTCACCTCTACAGAATATGACATTTCCTCATTGCTGTTGTCATTGATTTTCTCAAACAGTTCTTCACACAGCTGGAAACAGATTAAACCTGAGTCAGAATTTAGTCTTTCCTGAGTGTTAACAAGTAACTACTATGACATGTCATTAAATAGGCTTTAGATTGAGGGAAGGGGAAGAAAAGGGACCTGTTACAGCAACCACATACAGCCTTGCTGCGAAGAGACTTACCTCAATTCTACATCACTATCATTCAACCTTATTTTATATAGTAGCTCCACAATTGTTTTAGGTTTAACAAACACTGTTATTCTGTACTATAAAACAGAAGAAGCCTATAACAACTGAAATGGGAAGCACTAATTTTAGAAAGGAATTATTAAAATCCTTAATCCTCTCCTAGTCTCATAAAAACAAGTCTGTTTATTCAGTGTGCTGAGGTTCCAGGGTTCAGATTTAAATCAGGCAGAAATGATTTCAAAATTTGTTAACAGTATCTTCATATGAAGGATGTTTTAACTATAAACAGTCTACTGCTTCTAGAGTGCTTGTCTACAAGTAACTGAAATGAGACACCTAAAATTGAGATAATAAAGGAAGAAGAGATGAACAGTGGGCAATTCAGTAGCTATGGATATCTATTTGGAGATTAGAAAGCACGGATACAGAGAGGAATGGAGTAGAAAGAGGTTTCTGAACAAAAATCTACAAGCCACTGTATGAAAAATAAACAGATTATGAAGAATACAGGCAATTTGGAAAGTACAGACTCTGAAGTATCCAGTCAACACACGGTTGAAGTATCGAAGTTCCACACTAGGGACTGGCAGACAGGGATTTTTGTCAACACCTAAGAATTTAATGTCAACAACCTGTATTACTTCAAACATGATTGTGCTGTACCTTCTGTGTATGTGAGAACAGACACAACTGGGTCTCCCTCAACAGACAGTTCATTCTGTACTTTTAGAGAAAGGCTGTGCAGTGAAATTGAAGGGAAATTATTTTGTTTTAAAACTGTAGTAGGTGACAGGAGCATTATTAAATCTACAGGATTTTTAGACAATATGTTTAATTTGTATTTATTTGCAGTTTTAGAAAAACAAATAGGGATATCAAGATTACAACAAAAAATTTTAGCATGAAGCTCTTGTCACAGATTTTCAGCTCATTTCACCTGTCACATTGTAAATAAAAACACTGTTTAATAAACCCAAAATGCTTAGATAGAAGAATTCTGTCCTTTATCACATTAGCTCTTCCAATGTTATTTTAAGCTAATCACTAGAACACTTGCAACCTATTTTGGGATGTATGCTCATGTTATTAACAGAGAACAAAACTGTGTGTCCTCTATTTCACACCTGTGGCACAGGGCCAATGTCTACTGCAAACCTGCAGCAGAATGACGACTCAAGCTGTTCAACATATTTGTTTATTAAAACTGAAACCCAACCTCAGGTTTCTATTTTGGGAATGGAGGAACACATTATCTTCCAACAAACCTGCTTCACAGTCAGCACCTACGCGCTGAGGAAGGCCTGCAGAACAAGTGCCACACAACCAACAGCTATAGAATACTCAATTACAAAGTATTTCTTGCGGAGGGATCTCAAAGTGTTTTCATACACTTTTTCTTACCAATCTTGGTTAAAAAATAGCTGAATAATAAATATAATTCAGTTTTTAGCTTTGGGAAACTTGTTTCCACAAAATGTTCCTGGCATGATGATCAGTAATGCTACCT